GCTAAGAGCTGGACGGGAGGGGGCCGCTGACAGTGCCTTAGCATAGGGCAGCCACTCAGAGAACAGAATGCACAGGTGTTGGTAGACCAGGCTCGCGCAGGTTAGTGGAGGAAGCAGTGAAAATACACCTGCTCTCTCAGGCTGTGCCACAAAAATCACGGCGCAATCTTGAGGCTGGAGCTTTGTAAAAAGATTGGGATACGTTTAAGATGAAGACATAAAAGGGGGCGCATGGGTGTCTCAGTTAAGCCTCCGAGTTGGGCTCAGGTCATGATCTCACGGTTTGCGGGTTCGAGCCCCACATCGGGCTCTGTGCTGTCAGCTCAGAGACTGCTTGGGATTCTCTTTCACCTTCTCTCCCTGCCCCTGCCTCACTTTTGCTTTCTCTTTCAAAACAAATGAACAAACTTAAAAAAAAAAAAAAAAAAAAAAGAAAAAGAAGAAGAAGAGGGGCACCTGGGTGGCTCAGTCGGTTAAGCATTTGACTCTTGGTTTCAGCTCAGGGCAAGATCTCGCGGTTTGTGAGTTCAAGCCCCACGTGGGGCTGGCTGCTGTCAGCACAGAGCCTGCTTCGGATCCTCTGTCTCCCTCCCTCTCTGCCCCTCCCCAACTTGTGCCCTCTCAAAAATTAGTGAGCATTAAAAAAAAGATGAAGACATGTAGGAAAAGGTAAGAAGTGCAATAATTAGTAATAGAAAAGGAGCATAAAAAGATGCAGTGAATACATGTATACAACAGGATAGTCGTGCTTCGCTCTGGTAGTAAGAGTGTGATTTTAAAAGGAGTCCTTTTAATGTTTATTTATTTTTGACACAGAGACAGAGCATAAACGGGGGAGGGGCAGGGAGAGAGGGAAACACAGAATCCAAAGCAGGCTCCAGGCTCTGAGCTGTCAGCACAGAGCCCAACACGGGGCTCGAACTCACAAACCTCGAGATCATGACCTGAGCTGAAGTCGGACACTCAACCTACTGAGCCACCCAGGCGCCCCTTAAAAGGAGTCCTTTTAAATGACCAACAAATGTTCATTGAACACCTGCCATGTGCATGTCCTTCCTCACTGTTCTGCCTGCGGTAGCAATCTGGCTGGAAAAATTACTGAATTATTAGCGATCGGGTTGCAGGCCCTGCTGGGAGAGGGCAGTGAACCAGAGGCGGTGGTACAGAGGTCCCCAGCTTCCATTTTGGTTCTGAGGCCTGTGAATTTTCAGGGAAGGGAACCCAGGCAGGGAGCATAGCAATCTTGCGAGACTTAGAGGGTTTGTAGCAAGCATGACGGACTCTACAAGTCATGTAGGGGAGTGTAGGAAACGTCCATTTCTTCATTTTCTTCAAATTAAAATTAACCACTTATTAAATTAAATTAATTGATTAAACTTTAATTAAAATTAGAATTAAAATTAAAGCAGGCTCTGAACCACCCCCCGCCCCCACCCCGTCTCCTCTCCATCTGGAAAGAAATTTATTCCGAGCTATCATTGGTGCGTTCTTTGTGGCCTCCAGTACCAGCGCAGACACCATCAGAGGCTGAGAAACAAGCCAGGAGGCCTCGCTGGTGCCCAGGAAAGAGGCCAGGCCCCTGGTCTTCGCTTTCCGAGCTCCCCGCCCACACACCCCGATGGCTCCGGGTCTGCGCGCGCACTGGAGGCTTTGCAGGCGCACAGACGTCTGCAGGACGCTGGCTGATTGCAGAGCCCCAGCCCTGGGTCAGCTTCCAGAAAGCACCGTTGAACACCGAGTCCCTCTGGGCTTTGAGGCTGTCACTGCTATGGCCTGAGCGGCCATGTGGCCTTGCCCGTGGCCTCCTCAGAAGCCAAACAAAAGATGCACCCATCCTGTGGTGTTGCCTTGAGCATCAGGCGAGTCAGTGCGTACACAGCCCCCAGCACAATGAGGGACCCCTGAGCCCTCACTGTTAGTGGTTACATTCCATCTCGTTTCACGCATGCGAACGCGGACCCTCCCTCGCAGCGCACTTGCAGCGTGTTCCTGTAACCAACAGGGTCTCCCTCCCACAACTGCCACGAGAGGGGAGAAAGGAAGAAGGTGTGGGTTTGGACCTTTGCCTGTCTGGGCGGCTGATCGTCCCAGGGGAAGGGAATGTTCTAGTTGTGATGATGCTCCTGATAGCAGGATTTGGGGAATCTGGTGGGAAGGGCAAGTGGGCTGTGCTCTTAGCAGATGCAGGTCGTCACCATCAGAGATGAACATTTTGCCGGTGGAAAGAGCACTGGAGCGGGAGTCTTCCCCAGCAATCCAGCGGCTTCAGCTCTCAACTCTCTAAGTGCCATTTCCTCAGGGATGTCCTCTCTGCTCCCTGGTCTCAATTAGCTCCTCCCTGTCCTTCTTTCTTGGACTCTCTTGTTCTTTGTTACTAGCCTTTACTCAGTTTTTAGTTATGGATACTTTGTGTGTGTGTTTGGCGACTTCTCTCCCAGTAGATTATATATAGCTCTAGAGGGCAGGGATTAAGTGTGTTTTATTGACCAAGTACAATCACTTAACTTCAAGTTTTTACTATGTCAAATGAGGAAGGTTAATACTGCTTTTGCCTACCTCACTGAGCTGTGAAATTAATAAAGATAATAATGTGAAACTTCCTTGTAAATCATAAAACATGATGCAAATATTAGCTCTGCTCAGCACCATGTCCGTTTGAATGCACATCCCAAGCTTGTGCATCGGGCTCCTGGACGGATGAGCATTTTGTTAGATGAGATAATAAAGGAAAGTGCTCAGTATAGGATGCACCCCGCGGTAGCTCTTATTGTCGGAAGTCGAAGAGGACAGCCCCAACCTCTAAAAATGTCATATTCCCTTAGTCCACCTGTAGTAGGCTTGAAATAGTTAACTAGATGCATGCCCACGGCTGGGGACATGTAAACGTGTGAGTAACCGCGAACCAATCAATTCTGTACACTTCAGTGGGGGAGGGGGCTCAAAGTTAGTTATCAGCCAAGATGTTCCTTTCCTCCCAAGACGCAAGGATAGTGAGTAGGATGCCTTCCCCTGCCCTGTGCAGAGAGATTACAGAGGGAGGGAAGACATTTCCAGAAAGATGGCAGCTGAAAAAAAAAAAAAAAAAAAAAAAAAAAAAAAAGAAAGATGGCAGCTGCTTTCAGAATTTCACAGAGAGCGAATGGGAGGAGCATGCACAGATAGGGGCAGTGTCACATTCGGAACCATGGGTGCTGTGGCAGGAGGGATGGAGTTGACCAGTAGGCTGGTCCTCAGCCGGGGCTCCTTTGCTTTGGATGGACCAGCTAGGAGATGAGAAAAAATCCGTTCCGATGGCCAGTGTGGGACATGAATCACTGAGGCTGGGAACTCAAAGATCAAACAGTCTTAAGCCAGAAAGATAGAAGAAATAGATTGGACTGGACCAAAACAGACACATTTTCCTTCACTAGGTCTTTCTCAGGTTTAATCCTGTTTCTTAGGGAGGAAAGCTAAGGAATTGACATCACAACCACACTGGGTATTCCTTGCTGTTTGGTGCGATTATAATTATGGTTTAATTGACTACTTAGTAATCTGTGTGGAGTTTGTTTGCACCTTATGGAGTTCCTGGCTCTCTGAAGCCCCCAGATTCCCTGTTGTTGGCAGAGGGCCCAGATTTTACCCAGCCCCTTGGCACTAGGCTTTACTTACTGTGTCTTTGTTTTTCTTAATGTTTTTGATTTTGGAGAGGGGGAGAGGGGGAGGAGTAGAAAGAGAGGGAGACACAGAATCTGAAGCGGGGTCCAGGTTCTGAGCTGTCAGCACAGAGCCTGACAAGGGGCTCGAACCCACGAACCATGAGATCGCGACCTGAGCTGAAGTCTGATGTTCAACCAACTGAGCCACTCTGCCACCCCAACAGTCTTTGTATAGCTGTGACTGCTTGAACAAAACAAAGGTGAGCAGAACACCTAGCAGAGGTCAGGTAACAGAAAAGATAGGATGTGTAAAGGGTCAAAGAGAACAGGGATAGGCCTTGGGATGGGGGCAGGATGGTGGGCCAGACATGGGGTCCACGAGAGGACAAAGCCCCAATGCAGAGGCCCATCAAGATGCATAAGCCAAGACCAAGGCTGAGAAGGTGGGATGAACAAAGGTCACACACAACTGAACACAGGAGGAGATGGGCTGGTGGCCGCACACACGACAGAGGTGAGATTTAGGAGGAGGAGGGGCACAGACCTGTCAAAATTTTTTTCTTCAATCTTAATTTGTTCAGTGATTGCTAACAGCGTAATTGTTTTATCTTAGCCCAAAAAGATGGGGGTTAACTTGACTTCATCTGTCATGGGGCCGTGGCCCCAGAGAGGGCCTTCTCTCAGGCCGGATACTCTAGGTGCCTCCCCATGTTCCATCTCCAGTTTTTCCAGTCCTGAGCCAACTGGTGTGAGGAACGCGCCGGGATGAAGTTAAGTGTAGGGCACCGTGGGGGCGTCTGAGGGAAAATCAGGAGCCGTTGGGGGTGGGGGGGGGTGTTCAGGGAAGGCCTTTGGCACCCCGTTTTCGTTGTGAAGGGAGAACTCCAGAACAGGCTGTGGTTGGGGCTGGGGGAGCAGAGACCAGGCCAGCGCTCTGTGCTCCAGGGCCTGGGAGAGAAAGGGCCTGGGGCAGGGCAAGCCTAGGATGGAGAGGCTGAGGGTGAGGAAGGTGAATGTGTCCAGCTGTACCATTTAGCCCAAGGGGAGACTCTGATCTCTGGGAACTGGTGGAACAGCTACTCAAAGAAAAGTTACCACCCGACCTACCCTTCTTAGTCCCGGAGGAGAGCGCTCACACCCTCCTGAGCGCTCACACCCTCCTGACACTCCACGCCCACCCTCCCTCGAGAAGGTAAATAGGAGAGTCTGCGAAAGAAAACAGGGTATTAAAGCAGCTCCGTGAGAGCTAAAGCCCAGCTGAGAGTGTGAGCACGAGGTCGGTGTCCCGCTGAGGAGACAGAGGGCAGCTTTGTGTGGGGCCCCAGCCGCCTCCTATCTCCCTGCTGCTGGTTCCTGGGGAACATGCGGGGGCTCCTGCTTTCCACACTCCTGGGCGCTGCTCTGGCACAGGTAAGCTCCCCCCTCCTCACCGCTTCCCCTCAGGAGTTTCAGATTTCTCCAGGTCAGAAATTAAAAAGGAAGAAGATGGGGGCAGAGTGTGGGGGGGGGGGTAAATACCTTGTGGGAATACTTCATGCCAAACGGGGAGCCATTTTCGTCTCCAAATAAAAGTTGTGTTTAGTTTAGAAGCTTCGGGAAAGAAGTGGAAAACATTTCTTCCTTTCAGGTAACGGCACCGAATCCACTTTCGATATGTTTGAACAGCTCCCAGATTTGAATAGTGTATATTTTTTAGGGGGGGGGTACGACACACACCGTGTGGTCTGGAGGCGGCCGCCGGGGTGAAGGAGCCCCTTCATCTGGGCTCCAGGCTGGGGCTCAACTTTCCGTGGCTGTGTGCGAAAGGTGCAGAGAGCCACTGGAAAAAATGATTCTGACGACTTCCTTCAGCTAAGCCTGTCCTTGTTTGAAAGGAGCACTTGGGCTAAACATTTATATTTTTAAAACGTTCTGTTACTTTGTCTCTTCTCAAGTCATGCGTTTCTCCCTTTTCATGAAAAGGAAGCGGTCCGTGAAGACTTGGGAATAGTTTCAAGCAACAGACCAAAGGGAAATTTAATTTGAGAGGAGCAAGTCGTTGCCTTGGGATTTTTTAATAAGAAGATGAAAACAGGGTGACTTGTGTATGTGGATTTATTTACATGGAGGTGGTTACTGCTTGCACAGAGGACAGAGCTTTCGAAACCTTCCGGTGGTTGGGGAAACATGGACGTGTCTGGGAGTTAGTAGCCCAGTAGGGCGCTCAATTGTGTTTTAGGAAGGAGATTGAAATTTGTTATATATGATATGGAGATTTCAGACTGTAGAAGAATCCTAACAAGAATGCCACTGGTGTGGTTTGTCTCCACTGCTATATGGAGGGGCACATTTTCTCCAGGGGAGGTGAGACGGAGCTGTCTCCCGCTCCGCCCTTCTTGAGAAAAGGCCCATTGTTGTTGTTGTGGATTGAATAGCACCTATCCCGACAGAGAGGTGTCCAAGATAAAAAAACAAAAACAAACACAAAGAGGTTAAGACACGGCAACAAGAAAGTATTATTTTGCTTAATTTTGTCATTATGAACTTTTGAGGAATAATACCTACTCCTTGTTGAATGTCTGCTACGTGCCGAGCACCGTGCTAGGTACTTTAGTCATTATCTTAATCCTCAAAATAACCTTACGACGTGGATTATTATTATTATTAATCCCATTTTACAGAGGAGGATTGAGGCTTAAAGATCAAGTAAATGATAGTCATCTGAGATCACAGAGCTGTACCAAATCTCAGCGCTGGTGTAAAAACCCTTTGTTTCTGGTGCAACAGAAGAGCCTATTTTGGTGTCCCAAAAGAGTTCTGTTCCATTTCTTCTCTGTCGCACCGAGTCTTGAAAGATGGTTTCACTGGAGATAGAACACTAGGTTGACAGTTGTTTTTTTGTTTTTCCTTTCAGCATTGGGTCTTATTCTCCACCTCCCCCCCACCTTCCTTTTTTTTTTTTTTAAAGGCTTATTTTTTTTTTTTCCCCCAGAAAAGCTTTAAGGTCACAGCAAATTTGAGAGGAAGGTAAAGAGATTTCCTGTCTACCACTTGCACGGCCTCCCCGCTTATTAACATCCTCCACTAGAATGGTACCTTTGTTACAACTGATGAACCTACATTGATCAGTATTACCTAAAGCCCATAGTTTACCTTGGGGTTCACGTTTGGTAGTGCCCATCCCAGGAGTTTGGACAAATGTACGATGACATGTATCCGGCATCACAGGATCATGGAGTATTTTTGCTGCCTTAAAAATCCTGCGCTCCACCCCGTCCCCCAATTCCTGGCAGCTAGTGATCTTTTTAGGGTCTCCGTAGTTTTGCCCTTTTCCAGAATATTCTATAGTTGGAATCATACAGTAAGTAGACTTTTCAGATTGGCTTCTTTCACTTAATAATATGGGTGTCTTTTCATGGGTTGATAGCTCATTTCTTTTTAGTACTGAATAATCCATTGTCCGGATCACAGTTTATCCAAGGCACCTACTGAAGAGTATCTTGGTCTCCTTTTGATGGGAGGTCAGATCTCTCTCTTGTTGTTATTCTCTTGTATGTAATGTAATGCTTCTCTTTACAAAGTACAGAGTAAAGTTATGCTTTTCCGAGTACACTTTCAAGATTTTCTCTTTATCCTTGGTTTTCAACAGGTACCTTGTGGCCTCAGAGATTGTATAGAAATGCTTCAAGACGGGAAAGAGAAGCAGGTGTCCCCAGGTGGGCAGTTTGGAGAGTAGGCATTTCCTTGAAAGGAAGCAACATGAGGAAAAGCATGGAGGAGGAAAGGGACCTGGTGAGGCTCGTAAGCAGTAAGGTGGAGGAGGAGAGTGCATTGAAAGCGAAGGCTGGAGAGGAAGGCATGAACCCGCACAGGCTTCAGATAGCATGCTCAGAATTTTGCACTCTATGCTGTAGCAGTAGGGAACCACTGGTGCCCTGTACGAGGAGGGGTAGTAGAATCAGACAGGTTTTCTAAACAGATCCCTCCAGCAGAGACAGGTCACTTGAGGAGTCGTGTGAGGAGGGGAGGAGCCAGTTAGGAAGTTGACCTGCAATGAGCACTCAGTAGCCGCACGCGAAGGGGAGGTGAGAGTGGCTGCTTGTAGAATAGGAGGACAGCAACAATTAGTCGCGTGGGCACTGAGCGTATGGGAAGTGTGGGAGACGACGACCAGGAGGATTCCCGGCATCCTGACTCCAAACGTTGGAGAAGCTATCCAGAAAGGGGGGGGGGGGGGGGGGGCAGTGACGATGAGTTTGGGGAATGAATTTTTCCCATGGAACATTCTAGTGGCACTGTTTCGTAGGTAGTCAGCTGTAGGGCTATAGAGCTTGGTGGAGAACTCCTGGATGAAAATTTAGTTTCGACGCTTGCACAGGGTGGAAATGGAAGGCAAGGGGGTAGAGGAGATTGCCAAGAGACTGTAGAGTGAGAAAAGACAGCAAGGTCACAGAACACCAGTTAGTCTAAGTGTAAGTCAGATTTGGGGTAATAGGAGTCTGCAGAGGAGAGTGAGAAAGTAGATTGAGAGGTAGGGGTAGACCTGGGAGGGTCTGGCGTCATGAAAGCCAGGGGAGAGGAGAGGATTAAGAGTCAAACAGGGGGCACCTGGGTGGTTCAGTTGGTTAAGCATCCTTCCAACTTTCGATTTCGGCTCAGGTCACGATCTCCCAGTTCGTGGGATCGAGCTCCACATCTGGCTCTACACTGACTGCCCTCATGCTCTCTGTCTCCAAAATAAATGAAGCATAAAGAAA